CTGGAGACAGAGAAACCCTCATCTCCTCATTCTGTGAGATGACTACTGCATGTCATGGCTTATTAGTTAGCTTCCTGATTAATTTGGATCCCACCCACCTTACTTACTGATGGCATTTGTGGTGAGGAGCCCTCTACTAAACAGTAATAAATATGCTTCTACTTATCCCAAGTAAATGAGCTATTAGTTTACTTTTTGCAATGTTAAGTCCAGGAAGCTCCAAATGCAGCGTTCAAATGCTGAGAGTCTGCCCTATATGAAATGACAGACTATGGACTCCCCCGTGGAGGGCTTCACCCTCCCTGGGGAAATGAGGGGATGGATAATGGGGGGTTTGGGGGAGGGCATGGGAGGAGGGGAGGGAAAGGGAGAGGGAACTGGAACTGACTTGTGAAGCAACCTTGTTTCTAATCTAAATTTAAACTGAGAAATAAATTTTAAAAAAAGTGTTAAAACTTGGAGCTATTTTGCTAGGAAGCAACATGCTTACAATCATTACTAGAGCCTGGCTCTTTTAAAAATAATCTAAAAGGATTTGTCAAAGGAGGAGTTCATGCTCTTGAATCCATCCAATTCTTGCCTACAGAAGACAGACACTGGCAGTGGTAAATATACATCTGGGTATATGCCACTCTTAACTCTCAGGGGCATTCCCATTGAGACACAAGAAATCTGCAGATAAAACCTATTGCCAAGGCTGTATCTCCTACATATCAATGTGAATCTAGACATTATTTCTGGCTAATCCTTTGGGTTGTCTGATTAGTTCATCATCATCATTGTTATAATAAACATTTTAATTAGTTTGTTTATTTTGAAAAAAACAAACAAAAAAGGCTACTTCTGCCTCCAAAAATATTTATGCTACAATTCAAAACTAGCAAAATTACAGTCATGAAGTAGCAATGAAAATAAATTAATGTTGCAGCATTAGGAAGGTTGAGGACCACTGCTTTACAGCATGGCTTGCAGGACTTTCCAAACAGCATAAAAGAAAACAAAGACTTTTCCTTGAGGGCTGGAGATGGTTCAGCTCCTAAGAGCACTGACTGTTCTTCCAAGGACCTGGGTTTGATTCCCAACATCCACATGGCAGCTCACAACCACCTGCATATCCAGTCTCAGGGGATCTGATGCCCTTTTCAGGCTTCTGTGGACACCAAACCGGCACAGTACACAGGCATACATGCAGGCAAAAGACCCATACATAGCAAATAAGTTAAAATAATAAACAAAGAACAAAACAGTAACAACAGCAAAACAGCTTGCGTCTAGCACTTTTCAGAGGAAATGGCAGTCTCTGTTTTTCTTAGCTTAATCTCAATTCCAAATTACTACATGACTACACATTACAACACATTCTTCCTCTGCCCACTCCCCCACCCCCACGCGTCTCACAGAGAACAGGTCTGATGAGCAGCCAGTTAGTAGAGAATAAAAACAAAGAAAAGGGAGTGAACCTGTAAAGTACCAACACAGCCAGAGATTGACTCTTCAAAAGACACTAAAATAGCTGAAACTTGCAAGAGACCGATTGGAAAACGGAACATGCTAAAATGGCCTCGGCTGCACGGGGGCAATACTACAACCACAACATCACCCGACAGGCACAGTAGGACTAGTAACACAGCTGCACATCTGTCTGTCTCTCTGTGAACATGTACACATGTATGCCTGCTATTCTAGGCATTGAATCCAGGGCCTTTTGCATTGGAGGCAAGCCCTCTCCCAATGAGTTACATTCTCAACGCTTAAAATAATAAAATGCCTTGAACAATTTCCCCCCAATTCATTGGAAAGGTAAGATGAAGCAGACCATCTTCTAAATAAATAATACATAAGCAAAACTGACTCAAAGGTAAAAAACACAAAACCAACGCAAAGCCAGATAAACTTAAAAATATTAAAGAAAACTAACCAAGGTTTTAAAAAAATCTGCCCTCAACATCAGGAAAATATTGATAAATATAGTCATTCAGGTGATTATGTCCAGGTACTGAAGGAATGAGTAGATCTCTGTTGGATGAACTATATCATAAATAGAAATAACTACGTACCCCAAAACACAGGTTGTATGACTGATATGACTTTGCTATCAAAATCAGGTTAGAATGATAAAAGAATGAAAATAATGTGGGCCACTTTTATGTACACTGAGAAAAGCTTAATATTAGTAAATAATTCAAATGCTAAGAACAATGTAATGGTAATTTTTCCACCTGCCTGAGTTTATAAAAAAAATACAGGTATGGGCTAGATTTAGATCGATTTTATCTTTATGTTTTACTTATTAGATCAGTAGCTTCTTAAAAGAGGAAGAGCTCAGTGTTACACACACACACCCCACACTCCACACACCACACACACATACCTCCACATTAAGACCCTCAGTAGTAGGTTGGGAATGTCATTCAGTTAGTGGAACACTTGCCTATCTGTGCTGTTTTGTTAGACAATTGCTTCCCCAGGGCCTGCCTGCTGAAGAGCTGTTGAAAACTGTTTTCCTAATCAAAAAGTATTACATAAACACTAGCCATTATTATTAAAGATTTCACAGACCAAAGGAGCCAGAATGGAACATTTTGGACTGAACACTGCTTCCACAGGAACATTGCACTCCATCTTGGCAAGACCTTGTGCACATGATGAGGGCTTGTGTTCAGCCCAGTTCTGAAGAGGCGCTGCTTTCTTCCTAACCGTTGATGCTCTCATATCATTTTAGTATCTGGGCTGTGTGCTTCCCCAAACACCCGTGAGTGCAGGGAACCCTGTTTGGGATTCTTCTTTACTTCTGGACTGGACACTGAACACTAGACACTGCAGTTTCTAACTATTTGTGTGCAAATGTCCCACCTCACATGGCGCTCAGGATAATAAATTCTAGGTTTTAAAACATAAGCATACATATTAATAAAACATGAAGTGTAACAGTGCAAACAAGCCCTGACGCCATGCTGCGATTTTCTGATTTGTTTCTCAAGTCTAGTCTTCAAATTGCTTGTTGAAGCTTCCGTATAATAAAATATTAACTTGCCCGGAAAGTGGGGAGTCTCTATTACAACAAACACCTGAGTGTGCTTCACTGAAAAATTTGGAAGGCTTTTCTACACACTCATTTAAACAGCCATTGTGAAGCACAAATAACCGCTCTTCTCAGCACATTCTACATGAAGGAAAGTCTTGTAAAGGGGTCCACACAGCCTGCCTCTGAAGACATGGTTGCGAGCACACCCCCTCGAGGTCTAATCACCAGGGACTAATATGGTCAATGACAATGTCTGGAATCAGAGTATAACTCTGTGATGGGGGCAAGTTGCTAGCTCTTTCTCAGGCTCATCTCCAAGCCCCCAATTCTCCAAAATAAAGGACAAAACTGTACCACAACATTGACATCGTCTGTTCCTCCTGCACAGCCAAGCACACACAGCTGCAGGCTTTATATGTGCCTTCATACTGACAGTTACAACTTTGACTACTTTACTTGTATTTCACTGAACCCCAACAGCAAGTGTCTGCACTTTCTTTGTTCACGGCTACATGGGTATGAGCACAGGCTATGTGCGGGCACAGGCAGCTTAATGACTGAAACCATGGATTTGAAAGCAGACAAAACTTACTCTATTGGAATGCTAGGAAACTGTATTAAAGTCACGGGCTGCCAGGAAACATGTTAACAAATTCAATTTAGGTCACAGGTAACTGAAATAAATTTGTCATAGAGCTTCTGGCTCATGAGAAAGTACACTTTTCTAGTGTGACACACACCAGTAACTTCAGCCCTCGGGAGGCATAGGCAGGAAGACGGAGCATTTGAAGGCAAGCCGGGTTACAATGCAAGGGTGTGAAACACGCTGCACCTGTGTGTATGTACACACACTTTTTTGGTACCTGCACATTACTCTGTGGCTGAATTTTCAGATGTCCTTGTTTTTAGTCTTATCTCCCACCCCTGGGGGCAGGGACATCTGTAGCTTTTACTTGTATTTTGCTCTAAATAACTATTTCCACAAAGGTTCTCATGTATTCAGCCAGACAGTTCAAGTAGGGGCTGATAGCGCCACCTTTAAGAGCCAGATAACCCCGAATGATGAGTAAGTGCAGCTTTCCAAAGCAAGACTGATTAAAGGGATGGAGCGTGCCACCTACAATGGAAGAGAGGACTCGCTTTTGGTGCAGCCTCCTGTAAGTGGAGCTGTTTACAGCGCATCTCTCTGCTAACCCTTTGCCTTTGTCCCTGCCACACTCTCCAGATGGCTTCTCTTTTGTATGGTTAAACTAATGGGGAAAGAACACGCTATTTCTCCTGGTGACCCACGTCAGGCTTGGGAAAATGGAGTGTGAAGCAAGTCCAGCCCTCCGCAGTGCTTATTTCCAAGGCGTGGGCAATGATTGGTTAGGGCTGAGTCTCATGGAGACAGAGAAGTCAATAATCTGATTAGGAAGCAGGGGTGAGGGTGTGTGCCTCACTTTGGCAGACGCCCAGTATCAATCCATCCCAGGGACTTTGAGGAGGGCCGGGAGAAGCGTGTTCAGAGACTAGCAACATGTAGTCAAGTCAGTAATGCCTTAAGAAGACAATGGGCAGTTAGACAGGTAACTACAAACTAATTAATTATGAACTAAGTAATTTAGCAGAGATGGCCTCAAGAACCAGGGAGTACAGAAGTCTGTCTTAACACTACTTTTGGGTAAATCCTATATAGGATTTTAAAAGTTTACTTATGTTTACTTATTCTTAAAAGAGGAACAACTGGCCCAGGCTGGTATTTAGGAACAAATGCAATACGTGAACGGCCATCTCCCCCATTCTTTACACAGTACATGAACAGCTGTCACCCCTGATCTTTGTTGAAAACTGGTCTAATTCCTTCTCAGATTAACACCTGGAGATCTATGCCCATGCCTCCTGACTCATTTCCAGAATTTACTTGGTATATTAGAGGTTCTTTATAGAAACAGAACCAAACACACACACACACACACACTCTAAAGAACTTTACCTGGGAGACCAATAACCCAGCAGCGGTTTGGTCCTTGAAGTTTGGTCCAGAAGCTGTCTGTTTGTCACTGGCAATTTCTCAGTCCACAAGACTGGGTGCACCAGCACTTGAAGTCTGGCACGGAAAACCTGGAAGGTCCCTGGAGAGCTACTGATCGTAAATCTAGACACACTGGTTCTGAAGTTAGCAGAAGGCTCATTGTAGCAATGGGGCAAATCAACTCAGCAGCAAGAGGAGAGCCAAGATGGACTGCTGAGTGGTGACAGGCATCAGTTAAGGCAATCAGTTCTGGGGCGGGACCAACTCAGGTGATCCTAATTTGTATCGAGTTGCCATTAAAACCAACTGTAACACTTTGGTTTTATTTACTCCAGCACAGATTATCAGCATCATCACCTTAGGTAAGGTCTATGTACCCCAGGCTGGTGCCCACTATGTATTCCAAGATGGCTTTGTACTCATGGGCCTCCCAGAGCTAGAATTAAAAAAACTCTGAAAGTCAAAAATTGATTTAATGGGCAGAACTAGTTTTTTTAATAGCCATTGAAAGCTTTATATTTTTATAGTGAAATTTAGTCAATCCAAAATATCTCCCTCTTCTATATTAAAGAAAGTAGTAACAACATAACCAGCTAAAACCCCTGGAAATCCTTAATTCTAAAACTGTTGATGATGGGTGCTTAAGGGCTAGTTTCTTGTCAGGCAGAGCAAGTAGCAAAGATGATGAGCTCTCTCTGTTGGAGGATACAGCCAAACAAGGGGCAAATTCTGCAAAGATGAAAATTCAGTTCACAGAAAGGACATACCCTGATTCCTCAGTCTCCCATTTTACTAACCTTCTTAGAATAACAATGTTACAAACCCAATGCTGGCAGGCCATGGGGCAGGGGTAGTTTTCAATTCTTTTGCATGTTTCTCTATTATTATATTATTGTGTTTAAAAATGGAGAGCTAAACCTAACATTGGTGATATACATACAAATACAGACACTTATAGAATGGAGAGCTAAACCTAACATTGGTGATATACATACAAATACAGACACTTATGGAATGGAGAGCTAAACCTAACATTGGTGACATACATACAAATACAGACACTTATGGAATGGAGAGCTAAACCTAACATTGGTGATATACATACAAATACAGACACTTATGGAATGGAGAGCTAAACCTAACATTGGTGACATACATACAAATACAGACACTTATGGAATGGAGAGCTAAACCTGACATTGGTGATACACATACAAATACAGACACTTATAGAATGGAGAGCTAAACCTAACATTGGTGACATACATACAAATACAGACACTTATGGAATGGAGAGCTAAACCTAACATTGGTGATACACATACAAATACAGACACTTTAGAAGTCATTTTGCCTGGATCTGTAGCTCAGTGGTAGAGGGCTTGCTTCATATGCATCACACCCTATTACCTAAAAAGAGGAAATGTGTAGACTTAGAATGTAATAATAAGTGAAGTACACAGTCTCAGGAAGAAAAAAATCACTTACATGTTCTCACTCATATGCAGAACACAGCCAATAATATATGTGCCTTTAATCCCAGCACTTGGGAGGCAGAGACAGGTGATTTCTGTGAGTACGAGGCCAGCCCGGTCTACAGAGTGAGTTCCAGGACAGCCTCCAAAGCAATACAGAGAAAGCCTGTCTTGGAAAACAAAAAACAAAAAACAAAACAAAAAATCTAACATGACGCATGACAGCTTAAGAGTTGTTGTTCTAACTGTGTACAGAGATGTACAGAGTTCTGATGTGGTGAATTTTGATGCATGATGTTTTATTTGTAATTTTACTATAATAATGTTTATTAAGATGTGTTGTTTTCACAAAGAGGCCATGCTTTACCTCCTGGTAGAATTATTCAAAATGCTTACTTTTATAGCATTACTTAATTGTTCAAAATTATAGCCTGCTATCTTCAATGCTCCATCAATTTCTTCTGTCTCCAACATTATAGCTGATGGGCTTGAAACAGTCCTGTGTATGGAGGATGAATGTTCCAAATCAACAATTAGCTGGTCCACTGTCTTTTTAATGTCTGAAGACCAGTTCTTTACTGTTTTATGTTGCAATGCTTCCAGAGAAGAATCTTCTTTCTTTACTATTGAGTAGTGACCTTGATTCTTACTGACAATTGTATGACCCTCACAATCAGGGCAGTTGCTTGAGGTATACTCCTGAGTTACTAATAGGCACTGTTCACAAAAGGCATGTCCACACTGAAGCTCACGGTGGTGACCGGAGGCAACGAACACCGTTCTTCCACACCGAGTGCACTGGCACTCCGAAGCATCCAGCGGCCCACTCTTACTCCCCACTATGTGGGAGCAAGATGCGATGAGCCCAGCTGTCGAGGCCTCTGCTGCCATCACTCTCAGTGAGGAGCAGCAGCAGTACATGTGAGTCCCCAGAACTAGTTTTAATCCACATCACCACAAAGGAATTTAAATGAGAAGTAGAGAGAGGCTGAGGACTAAAAGGCATTAAAAACAAAAGTCCCAATTTGTTTTATTCAATATCCTTAAAATCACAGTATTAAAATAACTACCACAGGGATGGCAGTGTCTTTTTAAGGCACTGTTCCTTGGCTTGTTTGATGGGATGAGATATGAGGCCTTGATCTCTCTATGTAGTAAGGGATGACATTGATGCTCCTGCCTCCAGCTCCTGTGTAACCATGCATACAATTTCATTACTTCTGGGAATGGAACCCAGGGGCTTACATCTGCTAGGCAGGCACTCTACCAACTAAGCTACGTACCCCAGTTCCAAGCTCATGTTTAGGTTACCCTCCCGTGTCCTAGCTTGTGTCTGGAGTCTTTCTCCTTTAACCTTCATCTAGTCTCGGCCCCACAGGGTTAATGGACCCCACAGCCTGTATATAAATGCCTTAGTCTGTGTCCAGTCCTATCCTTTGTAGATGCCTTAGGTGAGGCCTCTGGCAACAGGGTTTCTTCATGTTCACCCACTCAAGCTTTTCCACTAAAAAGTAAGCATTTTCCTGTGGCTCTTAAGGGTAAATCTCCTTTTTTCAAAAGTGGTTTCCTGCTGCTGTTTTGTTGTTGTGGCTATGCGGTGCTGGAATGAAACGAAGCACAGCCTTGTCCATGCTAGGTGAATGCTTTTCATGCAGACCAGACCCCGCCCTGCAGCACCTTACAACACTCAGCCAGGTTACTGAAGAGCCCCATGATGACCCCATTTCTTTTGCCTCAAGTCATGAGCTTTAAGGCTTATTTTTATTTCTCTAGATGATTAAAGCTTTGCAAGGTTCAATCATTCTCCTGAAGTCACCTTGGTGTTGGTCTTTCACCGTTCATTTCAGTATTCCTGTTAATTTAAGGGAGTTTTTTCTTGCAGTATGTAGTTTTTAACTACTTTTTCTTTCCTTTAAATGATGGCCGTCACGCTCTGGTAGACACTCCTCATTGTCTACATTGTTTACTGTTCCTCCTTTGACTTTTTAAATCTTAACTTTAAGACTTGTGTCCTTTTTACTTTAATAAGTTTGGGGTTTGTTCATTTTTATTTTCTTTCTAGTTTAGTCTTAAATTATCTAAAATCATTCCTTTTTGAGATACACTTTTCATACCATACAATGCATCTACTTAAATTGAGCACATATTCACGAATATGTTAACTGTAAAAACTTAAATCATAAACACAAACCCATACCTCCCATCTTCCATTCTTGCACCCCCAAACAATCACAATCCCCTTCTATTTCTATACATATCCCTTTGTAGAGATTTCACATGAAAGAATCATAAATGTGGCAATTTATAAAAGCTGGATTTCTTTCCTATGTTCAGCAGGTTTTAAGGCTCATCTAATATTCCTTTCATTTCTATGTCCAAGTATGTTCCACTGTACAAACACTATCATTTTATCAATACATTCACAGATGAATATTTGGGTTGTTCTCATAACTTAGCTTTGTGAGTAATGCTGGACTCAAGCTAGAGCCGCCATTCCATGATGGATATTAGAAAGGACCTTTAAAGGGATTGGGGAGATGTCTCTACCAATAAAGTGCTATAGTTCAAGCATGAGGGTCTGCGTTCAGATGGCCAGCACTTACATAAAATCTTGGTGTGAGAGCATGTTTGACACCTCATTGTTGGAAAAGCAGAGGCAGGTGTACCCTCAGGGTCACTAACCAGTCAGTGAAACCAAAAGCTCCCAGGTTCACACACAAGACTTTAGCTCAACAAAAACAAAAACAAAACTCAGATGGTGAGTGATGGAGGAAGACACCCTCTGGACACCACATGGGCCTGCAAATGTACCCACCTGTTAGATATGCTGGAACACACATATATACACAACACAGGACCCCACCCCAATTAAAAAAGCAAAGGAATTCTAACCAAGAAACAAAGACATTTTTGCATTTTAGATAAGCACTCTCACATTCTGGTTTGAGGTCTTCCACAGGTGAAAATGACTTCACCATAACTGAAGCTAAAAGACAAGGAGGCTGGACTGGTTGAGATTTCACTTTCTTTTATAAACTGTCAGCAACAATTCTAAACAGTGTAAACCACACACAGACTGGTTTATCTGTCAAAGAGATCTGTAGATATCAACAGTCTGGGCACCAAGCTGTTTTGAGACATGCCCTTCTAGGCTTGAGAGGGCAGACCACAGAGAAGATAGTAGTTGGCCTGTATAAGTACAAGGAATTTGAGCATGTGTGCAAGGGCCTATAGTGATAGTTATACAAAATCTAACCTTCTTATTGTAGACAAATATGCTTCCTTATAAGCCAATAAACAGGACGGCTCCAACAGATTCCAACACTGTAATGGTGCAACCTCTGGTTACACTCTGTTACGTAGCAGAAGAACAGATTGCAGATCTCCAAAGCAGGGAGGCCACCTTGTACATCTGGGTAGGGCTGTTCTAAATACAAGAGCTCTTTCAAAGTAATGGGTCTTCTCTGGCTGGGGCAAGAAAGCTGTGGCAGGAAGGGTTTTGAGGTTCAATGTCTGAGAAGGACACAATCCAGCAGTGCTGGACGCAGGCCATGTGGAAAGTGGGAGGAATGTATGCACCTTCTAGAAGCAGATGGCCATGAAGGAAATGAGGGCAGTCCTAAGGTTGCTTTAAGGAGCAGGTGCCCTGCAGACCAGGGGACAGATGCTCTGGTTTCATGTCAGTACCTGGAGGAGGCTGGGAGAACATGTGGCTTTGGGGCCTCTAGGAAAGAGCCCACCGTGGCTCGAAATCCTGACTGGGCTTCTGCAGAGGACCCAGGTGAGCCACCCTGAACCAGGAAATAGCACAAGCATGCAGCTTCAAGTCATTAAGCTTGTGGTGACTTTTTTTTAAGTAGCAGCAGTAAATTAAAACAAAGATGTATTTTTAAAAAAGAAATCAAGCATTCCAATGACATTCTTCCCAGAAATAGACAAAACAATCCTAAGTCTATAAAGTACCACAATCTTTGTTTTCATTTAAATGGGATTGTTTATAATTGGCTAGTGATCACAGCCAATCCTTTTTAATGGTAAAAAGGGGAATTATGGTATGGGTATGGTTTTTCATTTATTGATGCAAATTCAAGGTCAATTTTGTGATATGTATATTTCTCCTCTTGATTAAGTATTGTGCTTATACTGATCTTTTAAAATGTAATGCATAAGTGAATACAGATTATAGATAGTTACTTATAATAGTCAGAACTTATAGTTAGGTTAGTTAGGTTTTCTAGATATACAGAAATATATTTGAGATAGATAGGCAGTCTTCAAACCTTTCAAAGACCTTCAGAAAATGGCATTTAAAATGGTTTAGGGTTTTTCTTGACAATGAGAAATGTCTGCTTCTGGCAGCACCAATTACGTCTGAGAGGAAGATGGGCATCGAAGAAACTCGTTATGGAGTTTGCTTTCAACATGGCAAGATTAGCCATTTGGGCAAGAAACTGCTCTTGCCTAGACTGTTTGACTGTTGTTGTATAAACTGGACATGCAGGACCCATGGGAAAGTGACTGCTGAACTCAGTCTTACAGGATTCCTGCTTCATGGAAGAGTCTACCAGACCTTCTGCAGGACACAGAAAAATGACTGACAGACTGCCAATGCAGATGGACAGTTTGAAATTTCCTGCTTTGCTGAGAAGTGTTCCAGACACATTGTGGCCTATGGGCTGAAGATGGGTGCCCCAACGTTACAGAGGAACTTCGGGTGACTGTTCAGGCAGTAAGATATCTCTGTCAATCCTAGTGTTTATATATTATCCTTCTGTGGTCTTTGATGGAGTTGAAGACAGATAGTTATAATTATAGTTTTCCTTAGTTATGATAAAAGATAAGCTACATATAGGACTTTGGACTCACAAGGATGGGATGGATGACATTTTCTTTAGATCTTGCTAAATGTTAATAGACAAAATGTTGTAACTGTGTTCTTACTTGATAACTGTTCTGTCATATACACTTTGACTATGTTAAAATTAAGACCTTTCTTTTTGTTTAAACAGAAAAGAGGAGATGTTGGGGAAGTCCTGTGTATATGTCAATAAAGCACTGTCTGGCCAATAGGAATCTAGATAGGTGGGGCTAGGAATCCAGGAGGATTCTGGGAAGGAGAAACACAGGAGAGTTCGAGATGTAACTCCATTAGGTAGGAGGCCTGGAAATTTCTCCGGTAAGAGACATACTTAGATTAACAATTATGGGGTAATTACTTAAGTCAGAGCTAGCCAGTAAGAAAAAAGCAAGGCCAACACCTTCATAATTAATACAGCGTCTTGTGTGTTATTTGGGGACTACAATGTGGCAGAGCCCAGGCGACTGGCGGGTGATATACCAAAGCGGCTAGCAAGATAAAGCTTCTCTTAACAACTGGAGGATAAAGAAAACGTTAGAAAAGACAAAACACGGGCGATGGTGGCGCACGCCTTTAATCCCAGCACTCGGGAGGCAGAGGCAGGCGGATCTCTGTAAGTTCGAGACCAGCCTGGACTACCAAGCGAGTAGGACAGCCTCCAAAGCCACAGAGGAACCCTGTCTCGAAAAAACCAAAAAAAAAAAAAAAAAAAAAAAAAGACAAAACATAAAGATACTTATGAAACACAGTTAATTGACAATATTACCAATGAACTACTGAAAACAATAAAGGTGAAAAGATGGCACACACCTCCTTAAGGAAAAAGATGAACGGTAACTAGGAGGAGCTGAAGTCCTATGAGCAGCAGGGGCTGCAGCTGAGCTGCTGGACTCTTGACTTGGAAGAGGAAGACACAGGAACAATGGCTGTTCAACCAGCCATTGCCAGCAGAGGCTTCACAAGCAGCAAGCTGGTCCTTTGGGAAGTGCTAATGTTGCATTATTTAGAGATGGTGGCTATTTACAAAACCATTCATGGAAAACCAGGGATGCCTCCCAATGCTGTCTGTATAAACACTGCTGCTGTGTGGATTAGGACAGAGCAGCAGCCACCTATGCGTTCAACACAGCCTTCTGAAAAGCTCTTGATACTCTCTGCTTTGAAAGGATCTGAAGACTGTCTATACCAGAGCCAGGAGGGCTCCCCGTGGATCTGTCAGCTGCTGGGGAAGCAGACAGCCTGGAGAGAACCATTGAGGACAGAGTGTTCCTCCTTTCCCCAGCTGGTATGGATGGGCTGCAGAGGATGAATGGTTATCAATCAAGCCATGGACTGGATGCCACACTTCAATCTTTGCTGATACCTTTGGTCTGGGCTTAGAAATAGTTGTTAGTGTTCTGGTAAGGTCCTTATACACCTAGTCCCAAGCTACTTTTCATTGATACCTTAAACTTTTTTAAAATTATATTTACGTAGTGTCTGTGCATGGGGGGGTGCATTGCTACTCTGTGAACATGGAGAATATTTTGCAGGACTCAGTTCTCTTCTATCATCTGAGGCTTGGAAACTGAACTCTATTGGTGTCTTTAAAATCTTCTGTAAACTCAGGCATGGTAGCACACACCTTTAAACACAATACCAGGAGGCAGAAGCAGGGGGATTGCCACAAGTTTCAGGCCAGGATGGTATACATAACAAATTTCAGCCCAGGCAAAGTTACAAAGTGAGACTCTCAAAAAAAAAAAAGTTTAAAAAAATTCTCTTTAAGACAGCTACTCCATTTGTGACATTTCAGTCCAACACAGGGAATAAAAGTATAATTTTATTCTACTCTATATGGACACCCACAGAACTGAACACCAATAGTTACAGCATTCCATGTTTTAAGATTAATGAGCGGACATACACCATCAATTCCTGAGTAAGTAGTACAGTGTAAAGTTTAATCTGTATTGCTCAGAAGACATCTTGCAGCATAGAAAGTGATCAAAATGATTGCTTACTTTATCATGTCATAAAATACAAGTGTTTATTGCAGAACAGTGATACACTTCAGTGGTAAGGAAAACTTACAGTTCATAACCAAGATTCTTGTATGCATCTACTGCCATGATTGACGTCCCAGGTCAGGGTCAGTAGTAAAGTAAGTCACAGTACAAAAGTAAACCAAGGTACCTGTACTGAAGACACATGACTTCATTCCAGAAGTGGAAGCCTGTTAACCTTTCGTACATACAAAATTCTTTTAAAAAATCCTAGGCAATCACAAATATAAACCAGTTGAATAAAAGACGATGGCAGCTTTTTGTTATGCTGTAAACCCATGGATCTCATCAGTGGAAAAGTTAAGATCATGCAGCAACCTGAAAAACAGAAAGTGTATTATTTTTAGGGAAAGTGTTTACAAATAAAGATGAGATCAAAGCTTGCCAACATACCCTCCTCATTTTCAAGTCTCATTTGTTTTTTTTTTGTTTTTTTTTTTAACATGCATTCAAATAACTTTCTTTTTTTTCCAGTTTAAATTTAGATAAGAAACGAGGTTGCTTCACAAGTCAGTTCCAGGTCCCGCTCCCATTCCCTCCCCTCCTCCCGTGCCCTCCCCCCAACCTCCCCCCCCCCCCGTTATCCCCTCATTCCCCCAGGGAGGGTGAGGCCCTCCATGGGGGTGTCCATAGTCTGTCATTTCATATAGGGCAGGGCCTAGACCCTTCCCCAAGAGTTCAGGGTGAGAGTGCATCTCACATTGTTCTATGGGAGTCCAAAGTCCGTGTGTATACTTGGGATGGGTACTGATCTGCTGCCCAAGGCTCAATAGGTTCCCTAGGCCTCCTCATTGACACCCAAATTCAGGGGGTATTGATCAGTCCCATGCTGGATTCCCAGGCTGATGCCGGGATTCAAGAGTTAACCTTTGTCTGGTCAGCTGTTTCTGGGGGTTAAACCAGCCCAGTCTTAATCCCTTTGATCATCAGTCCTCCCTCTCTGTTACTGGCTTTCTTGAGTTCAGCTCAGTACTTAACCGGCCACTAAATGAAGTTTCTGTTTCCCAGACTCTCTGGCCATAGGATGGTAGGCTGGCACTCCCCAGATCTATGTCTAAAATCCATATATGAGAGAGTACATGCCATGTTTCTCTTTTTGTGACTGGGTTACCTCACTCAGGATGGTTTCTTCTAGTGTCATCCATTTGCCTGCGAATCTCATGATTCCATTATTTTTTTTCTGCTGAATAGTACTCCATTGTGTAGATGTACCACATTTTCTCTATCCACTCTCATTTGTTTTTTTAAAAAAATACAATGATCACCCCAGAAACTTAACAATTCCTAAACAGCACTAGATAGTTAATGTGTACACATTTTTCAAATTCCACAACTGCTACTAATTTTAAATGACTTGAGTCAGGACCCAATTACAATCCACTCATCGTAAATGGTGGGTAAGCCTTTGGATACATTTATCTCTAACATCCCCCTTCCCCTTTTGCTCCCACCTCTGCAGTTTCCTACTGGAACCATAAGATTCCACTGTGGATTCCCAGTCCTTTCTGCTGCATCCTATGGCATTCTTCAACAGCAAGGCCCTGTGTCCTCTCATTCCTCACACTTAGTAAGTGTGTGGAGTCTAGGACCTCATCACACACAGGGTTAAATCTTTTTGGCTACTTCATCAGGGCTGTTACTGTAAGGGACACATCATACATGGCTGCCTCTCTTATTAGATACTAGTGACCACTGGCAACCTCTGAATTCAATAAGACTCCACTTCCATCATTCTTTCTTCATTGATCAACTGCAGGGCTCTGTAAAGAAAACCTGCTCTGTGGTTGGTGGCTACCCAGCAACATGTTTGTACACCGACATAGAGAAAGGCAGAATAAAGGAACACAATTCACACAGAGAAGGCAGAATAAAGCTCTTCCCACCTTTACTCCCTAGTTTTCAAAGTGAGGAGTAGGAAAACATACTGTGGAAATACACTTCAGCCTGGAGAATCGACAACTAGAGACTGAGACCATAGAAATGGCTGCTTAAAATGATCATTGCTATTCAGCACTCTCATCTACACGAAGGGCCCAGGTGGCCAGGGTTAGGGCACAGCAGTCAAACCTCTCTCTGGGAGCTACCCTACTTTCCTAGACATGTATATACAGTCTCTCACAGGCAAGGGCTTCACTGTAACCAGACAGCGAATGAGTAGACTGTCTGG